CGGTCCAGACACAACTCCGTACAGACTGACCGACTGACGAAGGCAAAACTACAAACTCCATACAAAACACCAAAAAAGTCTTTTTTAGCGAAATTAATTCCAGCTAAAATAAAGTATTTCACAGTAGTTATCCCATGCAACCATGGATGTACTAGCACAGGATGAATAACTTAGCTAATCCTTTTAATTTTAATTTTAAGTCATACATAAACGGTTACGCTAAAGCACTTTTTCAAGAAAGACATGGTGGATGGCTGACACCAGGAATTCCATGTCATTCACATTTGATAAACAGAAACTGTGCCAATAACTAATCTATATGGAGACAATAGACCAAGTGTCTCTGTGAAATTTTACTCTTGTAGTCATTGTATTCATAAAAATAAGTTTGGGCGCAGCCTTTCCTGCCCTATATTAGACACAGTCCAAGTACTTATGGATTGGGTTTTGTGTTTTTGCTTGTCCATTTGTTTGTTTTGTTCAATCATCCCTTCAACACAATTCTGTTTATATCTCAATTTCACATTAAGAAAAATCTGGTACATAGACAAATGTAAGTTGATCTGCATCGCAATACAATCAAAGATTCTCCATTTTTGTTTGACGATTTTCATCCTTTACTGCCTAATTGTGCTTATATCCCAAATTCCCATAGTACCAGAAATCCCGGTTTCTCAGCTATCTTAAATAATTTTTCCAGTTGCCCTCATTTTTACCCATCCACACTTACTCCGCTATTTTTAAAAAACTGTTTAAAATATGCCACTGACTTTTTCTGGGTTGCATGTCAACCAGTGCTCTTTTGACTTTTTATCCTACCCTCGCCAATTGTTAGGTAGGTTACCATGCGCAAATAGAATTACACCGCGTCTGACACTAAATTGGGAATCAATCATTTTAAAATTTGATTTGTACTTCACACTTCATGTTACATGTATGTACATTCATTTTAAGATGATGATGCCCAAATCAAGCATTTCTGTCATTCTAAGAATGAATATTTATAATGTATGAAAATGAGATTGGATATGTATAGGACAGTAAATATACCATGTCACATACATTATAGTTAACAGTGTAGAACTGAAACATGTACAAAAAGAAGCATACAAATGCTGACTGTACAAGAAGGGAGGTGGGACGTTCATTACTGTTGAATTAGGAATGCAGGTACAGGTATAACCATTAGAGAAGTGTCACAGTGGTAATATTCATTGTTCATAGCTCTATACATGTATATTAAATTTAAATTTAAGCTTATAAGGTTGTCAAGGTAACATTTTTCTTCTCAGAATATTAACTACTTTACTCTAATGAACTTCTGTTTTATATTTATCATAGATTTGAAGCCTCCACTGGACATAAAAATCTCTCAGAAAAAATCTATCATTTGTTGGACTATGACAGTGAATGTAACAAAGTGAAACCAGGCTTGTTGGCACAGTCAACTATGCCAATAATCAAACAACGGCTAACAGATTTACTAGAAATGGAAGGAAAAAATGAAGCCGAAGCTAAGACCATTGTTGATGAATGCTGGGAAGAATGTGAGACTGGATCATCTGTTTCTGCATTTGGGGATTTGCCAAGACTGATGCAGAAATTAAAAGAGGAAGATATAAAGATTGCTGTTTGTACTGCAGATTCCAGAAAAGGAACTCTAGCCGCTTTAACAGAATTAGGATTGATTGATCTTGTAGATGAAATAGTGTGTGGTGATGATCCAGGTACTGAACCAAAACCTAGTCCACGTAATGCTCAGATATTATGTGAAAGGTTTGGTATAGACCCCTCACAAGCTATGATGGTTGGGGATACTCTTGCTGATACGGGTATGGGAAGAACAGCTGGTCTTGGATGCATAGTTGGTGTATTAACAGGTGTGTGCTCGGTGGAACAACTCCAACCTGAGGCTGATATAGTCGTAGATAGCGTCCATGATGTATTTGATATTTTCATGACAGAAACCCAGTCTATGAAATCATACACTGATATTGATCAAGAAAAGGTGTTTGTAAGGTCTTATTCCACTTTGAGACCTACCATCCCCAGTTCTGCTCCAGTGTATGATAATATAATTCTTGGTGCTGGGTCTGCTGGGTGTGTGTTGGCTAATAGGCTGAGTGAAGATAAAGATAACTCAGTTCTATTGCTTGAATCAGGACCAAAGGATAATCCATGGAATTGGAAGATACATATGCCAGCTGCTTTGATGTATAACCTATGTGATGATAAGTACAATTGGTTTTACACTACAGAACCTCAAAAAGCTATGAATAATAGGCAGATGTATTGGCCCCGTGGTAGAGTATGGGGTGGATCTTCATCACTAAATGCCATGGTTTACATTAGGGGACATGCATATGATTATGATAGATGGCAGAATGAAGGAGCAGATGGATGGTCCTATGCTGACTGTCTTCCGTATTTCAAGAAAGCTCAAACTCATGAACTCGGAGCAGATGACTACAGGGGTGGAGATGGACCCCTCCATGTTTCACGAGGTAAAACCAACAACCCACTCTTTAAAGCCTTCATTGAGGCTGGAGTTCAAGCTGGTTACCCTGTTACAGAGGACATGAATGGTTATCAACAAGAAGGGGTTGGATACATGGATATGACTATACATAATGGAAAGCGATGGAATACATCTAGTGCATACTTGAGACCAGTTTTACATCGACCAAATTTAAAAGCAGAAAGTAAAACTATGGTTACTAGAATTCTTTTTGAAGGTTCCAAAGCAGTTGGTGTGGAATATCTTCAGAATGGAGTATTACATAAAGCTAGGGTAACTAAAGATATCATTTTATGTAGCGGTGCCATCAATTCTCCACAGACTCTTATGCTATCTGGAATTGGAAATGCTGATGAACTTCGACAACTCGGAATACCTGTAGTGGCCAATCTTCCTGGAGTTGGTGAAAACCTACAAGATCACCTTGAAGTATATGTGCAGCAGAAATGTAAGAAGCCAATCACTCTCTATACAGCACAGTGGAAGTTTCCATGGAACATGGTTGGAATTGGGCTCGAATGGTTTCTTTTCCGTACTGGGAAGGCTGCATCGGCACATTTGGAAGCTGGTGGTTTTATCCGAACTCACCAAGATGTGGAGCATCCAGATATCCAGTTTCACTTCTTACCATCAGTGGTTAATGATCATGGACGCAAGTCAGGAGACTGCCATGCTTATCAATTACATGTGGGAACATTGAGATCTAAAAGTGTTGGCTACGTTAAACTACGTTCAGATAATCCCAATGAACACCCAATCATCCAACCAAATTACATGTCGCATGAACAAGACTGGGAGGAAATGCGATATGGTATTCGGTCCTCGCGTGAAATCTTTGCTCAAAAAGCATTTGATACGTATCGTGATTCTGAAATCCAACCTGGAGCGGAACTCCAGAGTGATAAAGAACTTGATGAATACATTGCAAAGATGTCTGATAGTGCTTATCATCCTTCCTGCACATGTAAAATGGGAAGTGATGCCGATTCAATGGCTGTAGTCGACAATCATACTAGAGTCATTGGTGTTGACAATCTGAGAGTAGTAGATGCATCTATAATGCCTAGCATTGTCAGTGGAAATCTAAATGCTCCAACCATTATGATAGCAGAAAAAGCTGCAGACATTATTCGTGGCAAGTCCCCACTTCCTCCATTGTCTGATGTGCCTGTATGGAAACCAGAATTGCAGGATACATTGAGAAGAAAAGCCAATAGTATTGCATAAGATTACATTAGATTCGAAAGCAGCTTTACCAATATAACCACTCTATTATTGTATATTAGATACTGGAGAATATTGAGCAGATAATTGAGACAACTACCATGTTAATCAAAAGGAACTAAGCAAAATAATGAGCTAAGAGATGTGTGTACATGATTATATGCATGTAATTACATGCTGATAATTTAGCTGTACATAAATAATAACAAAATATTATTCCATGAATATATTAGAATTGAATTCAATTGAATTCTTAGATGTATACCTCGATATAAATAACAAATTGGTCTCCAATACATTTTAGGCAACATCTGTCATTTCTTAAAATACTTCAATTTTAGGGCACTTCAGGTTAATAAGGTACAGCAAGTAAGATGTTGGTTTTGCCTGTCTAACAATTGACACTGAGTTGCGCGAATAAAAATGTATATTCTTATTTTTAAAAATGGACAAGTTCCTGTCTTTCTATTCTACTGAAGCAGTGCCAGTGGTACAGCTACCAGTGGTCAAAACCCATTTATTGTTTAAAGGTATTCAGTATTATTAATGAGATGCTTTATTTAGATATTTAACATCAATTTGTTTCATTTCAATTGTCATTTTTGTATTATGTACATATAGAAATGATCATGGATCTGGGAAAGTACAGTATATCAAAAAAGAATAACTTTTCGGTCATTTTAATGGTCAGTTACATTTCCTTGGTACTTATGTACAAAACGTGCATGCTTTTGTATTATGTTTTCTTAAATAACTTATTTTAGCGTACAGTTTGTATTTTGAAAGAATAGAACCCATTTTATGAATACAAGATTGGTTTTCACGTTAGAAATTCATGTAACAGGTAATGACTGAAATAATGTTTTACTGGGTCAATCATTCAACATGGTTATAGTTGTGTTCATACCTTTATGAGATTTTTAATAGTTTTCATGAATGTTAGAATGTAACTTATTGTATTGATTGTTAACTGTTATTTCCAGCAGTAATAAAAATGGCAAATTATTATTGTATTTTATCGGTAATACCAAAGAAAATGTATAGATGTGCTTCGGCGAAACTCTAATTGTATTCTAATTTTTTTTCAAAAACGTACCATACATAAAGACACGTACATGACGTTGAACACTTGTGGTAGGCGTTTTTGAAAGATGGGTGTAATATGTAGAATGATAGCTTAGCAAGATTAGACTATCACATTTTATAGAAACATTATGGTCATCATTTGAAAGATTTAGTATAGACCAAAAAAATGTTGGTACCAGACCTAAATAATTAGGAATTAAACTAAAAGTTGTCTATACAATTTATTTCTGTGCTAGTCAAATGATGATTAGTAAACCATTTATCCACATTTTGAAATGTATTTTAGACAAGATGATCAAAATCAAACTTTTTCTGTGGTTTCGATTCTAAAGCTTTAAAATGGCTCAATAAAACTTTGCAATAGAGTCTTTCATGTTAGGTCACAAGGCCTCCAGCGTCAGTTTTTCCCCACACGTAATGCGAAGAATCTTGAACGTGGCCTCCACAATGGCAGACTGTATCTGGGCAACGACGTTCAAAGTTGCATAGGCGAAAGACCAATATAAGGTTATTAATAAAGATGTAATCTGTATAATAAATTACATCAATATACGATAGCAGTAATTCAGAAGTTCCCCAGTAGTATGTATTGCGGGATTAATAAATATATAAACTGAAAAGATGCACAACGTCAAGTTGCTCATCTGATTATTTACTTGAGTCAACAGAGGATGAGGACTTCTCTAGAACTGTGGGGATGCCTGGTTTATGTAATATAGCAACCGACTGAAGACTAAAAACACCAAGTGGGTAATTAACATAGGGTATGGTGGTCTTGTTTATCCTTTCAGTTTATATGTATATATATATATATATATACCGGGAAATGCATGATACTGAGTGGAATAATTTGAACACTACTTGTCAGACTTTAAGCTTCAAATGTCAGTGAAGATATGTTTGCTAAAATTGCATTCATTTCAGATTACAAAAATCCCCCAAACTTGTGTTTATGAATTGGAGCTTAATTGAATGACACCCCCCCCCCCCCGCCTCCCCCCAACGGGTATCATGACGTTTTTCTTGGAGCATTAAACCCGATAGACCTCTTGTAAAGTCAACTCGTGGTCGGTGATAAGCCCCCAGCTTATTCTCAAAAATAACATCAACATTCTTGCTGTTCGATAAACAATTAAATAGTTGTGATCGTCTTGTCACCTTGCCATGGAAGCGAGGCAACTATAATATTGTAAGAACGCATGACTGGCTGAAGTGTTAAAGATTGGAAAATCTGGATGGGCAGTGTTAGAAAAACTGTACAAATATTCATCTTTCCTTCCTTTAGTTTAAGTGTTAGTTCGTTTTTGAATTTGCTGAAATTTTCAATTCGGCTAACGCCACTCCTCCCACTACAGAGTGTCTAACGTTCACGTCTTAACTGGTTGTGGGCTAGTCGTTAGAGAAATACTTTATTACAATGTACCTGTTGCTGCCATTACACAAAGTTTTTGTAAGACATCGAATATATTCATTTTTGAATGGTTTGTAGGGAATATTCATTCCAAAACTAATCGGCACCACGTACTTCGAAAACGAGGGCTTGGCTAGCAGTTGTTCATGTTGTTACAGTATGGTTTTTTTTGTACACATTCTAAAAGTTATCGATGAAACGTTCTCATTACTGTCACTAAAAATCGTTTCACGCAGCTCAATTGATTTTAATAGTATCAGCTTAAAGGGTGGTGGTCGTCGCGCCGCGTTCTGTTATATATGGGACATACACAACGCGTGTGAATTACTTTTTTTGTTGACATGAAACTCGAAGGCGCGCTGCGTGACGACCACCGCCTTTTAATGTGAACGCTAATTGTTTTCTTCTACTTGTTTTTTTTTAAATATGGTGAATAATTTGAAACATTTCCATACACCTTTTAGCTCTATATAATGTCATTAAAGAGAACGCATTCGCATGTCTGACATTGAATGTAACTTCGATTGAAGATACCGCCAATGTCAAACGCTGGAGGGATTTCCGGCATGATGCATTTATACTAGACAATGAACGGAGAGTACCCCCCCCCCCTCCCCGATTTAACCGGTCGATATTATGGAACGTTTGGTTACATTGCAGCAGGTTACGTCTAACATCATTTTAGAACTACCGATTACACAAGAATATTACAAAAAAGGTAATTCGCTAAATTATCTTATATTTTTGCATTTTATTTGTCTTGAATTATGACTGAAAGTAATCATATTTATTAATATTATTTATTAAGTTTGTTATTGCATGTAATCTTGTAACTCTTCTTGTGAGAACAAATGCCTGATAAACGAAATGCGCGTACAATCTTTTAATATGAAACATCGTGAAGAGTAAAATTAAAGCATATCTGTCAAAAATTATGTTGTATGTAATTTCAAGTATTTTTTTATTGACAATATCAGAGTTGCATAATACTTAGAATGCCATGTACATCCTTTACAATGTAATCAGCATCTGCTTTCAGTTCATCTTCGCTGTAGGTGCCGGTTGGTACACCAACTATCCATCCTAATCCAGCAGACCTACCCATCCTACTATCACCGAGGGTATCGCCAACAATCATTGTATCTGAAGGATGGATGCCTAATCGCTCGCAGATCATCAATGCGTTATGGGGGCTTGGCTTAGATATGGAATCTTCATCAGTGCCGCACACCATCGTGTCAACCAGCTGACCTAATTCTAATATCTTTACTACTCTTTCAGTTGACTCGCGTCCATCCCCAGTGCATATGGCAATTTTAATTCCATTCTTTTTTAGGGTGTTCATAAGTTTCTTCACATCTCCAATGGGGTTCACCCCAGTTGTTGCTAAAATGTCTTCTCCAAACCAACATTTCTCCATCACATCCTCGGCTTTTTCCACTCCTTCTCTTACCAGAAATGAACACAGTTCCTTTTTTATTAGATCATCGTTTACTTCTGTCATGATTCCTTTCGTCATTCTTCTAGTTTTTTCGTCATACCCAAGAAATTTGTAGAGCCTGTCTCTGAATTGTAGCTTGGTTTCAGCCTCCATGCTACAAAAATATAAATTTAGAATTGTTACAAATGTCGATGATTTGACCATGGAATTATAAACCCCATAGTTCCATGATTTGACAAAGTATTACGTTTGCCCGAATAAACGTGCAGATCGTATCACTATAATTGGTTTATACCACGAGCTGGTATAGGTGACATCCTTCAAGAAAGTGTGTAGACCATGGTTTTTCCACAGTCCTTGAGTGGTTTTTCGACGCCTATCATGTGATTCACCTGGGCATTGCGACGTTTTCGAGTTTCGAATTGTTCTTATAAAATACAGTAAAAATTGATGAATTTATATTATATTCGAGTGTTATTAAACAATATATTCATTCATTTAAATTACCGAATTTAGGGAATGACAACACGGGTTGTTTTTCGTACTTACCTAACTGGAAAACCGCCAATGCACAGGTGGAAAACTAACTCAATTTTACTCGGTATATGATAGAATTTCACACAAATACAGCCTGGTAAACCTACGCTCTCATAAACTATCAGGTAAACTTCCTAACGAAATACGCTCACCTACACCGGCTCATGGTCTAGTTGTTGTGGTTGTTGTTTTTTCAGACTTGATAAACAGTTTATAAAAAAAAAATCAGAAATATGAGCAGATACACAAATTGCATATAGTTATTTTTATTATAAAAGGTATTTTCCAATATAAATAATGATAGTTTTTCTTTTTTTAAACCAGGCGGTGAGTTGCATGATGCGATTGGTTGCGTTATGTCCTCATTTATGAATAATTCATTGCTACAAAAAGTTTGTCGATTTTAGGGCAAATAAACAAAATATTACTATTATATATATGTAACAAGTGTTTTAATAAACAAATTTGTTAAAATGTTGTAAATAGCAATTTTGATCAACGGTTTTTGATCGATGTTTTCGTCGTATACGGAAATCAATATATGGTATTCATGTTATTAAGCAATATACCGAACACTCTGAAAATACAATGAATGTAGTTTGATATTGCTTATTTTCTACAGTGTGAAAGAAGGGCGCCCTCACGTGCGATTCCACCTTTGTTCAAAACCATGTGTTTTGGGGTTTTGTTTTGCTTCGAAACTGCACACATACCGTCGCAATAAAGTAACATACACTCGACGAGTTGATCAAAACTAATTGGTAAAATGGCGCTTATTTCAGTACAAAATTGGGAATTAAGAACATGATGAAGCAAAAAAAAAAAAACTCGTTTAAAACATATCATGAAATGATTAAAAAACTTGACCTACATCATATCGCGTCTTGAATTAATTCATTTCAATGTAAAAATAGTCGGTGACTGAATTTACGTTACCTTTGTGCCAGATGTCTCGTTAATGGACCCATCATAGCATGTACACATATCAAAGTACCATCTTTGTCAAATATCACTAATGCAGGTTTTGTGGGTCTATTGCCAGTCTTGTCAGTCATTCTTGTAACACTCTTACGGGGTAAAAGGTTGTTAGGATGCTCAGTTCAGTTACCTGAAATAACGAATCATTAAATTGCGTATACATTTAATTATTAATTGTGCAGTTAGCTTATTTAAAGGGCGGTGGTCGTCGCGTCGCATCGCGTTCTGTTCGATATGGGACTCACAGCGACGTACACAACGCGTGTAAAATACATTGTTTGTTTACATGAAATTCGAACACGCGCTGCGCGACGAATACCGCCCTTTGAACGAATCGTGGTGATTTTTGTAGTTTATGTCACTTAATGCAAAATAATATAACAACAATATGGGCTTTTGTCACTGCTGTCGGAAAATCAGAGAGAGAGAAAAACTCACGTCTGCTGCAGTAAATTTTAAAAGAGAACGATCGCCAGTTTAAATGTCAATGTGCATGAATACTTGAACTTGTGAACTCTAGCCTAAATGCAACTTGGTTATAGTTCAAAGGTCGTCCATTTTGATGGACAAAATAATGTATTATATTGACTATAATGCTGTGTTAAACAGCGACATGATAACTGCAGTATACCGATCACTCCGACTCTCAATCGATTGTTAGTAGATACGATAAATATCAGCAGCGACATACAGCTACGAATACTATTATTTCACAGATATAACAGGCATCACGGTCACGGCCAACCGCCCTTGTATAATGTGTTTATGAAAAAATAGTCTGGCTTCCCAAAATCAACGGTTACACGGGTAGAAACACCGTGCACTGGTATAGTTACACCAACTTACCAGCGCCTCGGTCAGAGTTCATATAACAAATAGTCTTGAAAACAGTACGTTGTGGTATGTTTGTTCGGTATATATCACAGGGGCTTGACGATCTATTCGTCTCAATGCGTGGACGTCTATGGGGCCGTGCGACTATGTCCCGGTAAAGGACCTTACCCTTGCTCAAAATAATAGAAATTATGGAATTAAAACAGTTTAGTAATGTAAAGCAAGCATATGTTATTATATTTAATCATCACGCTCCGAAACCACAAAAATCACTAATACTTGTTTCCGGCCCATCAGCTTGCACTATATATAAGACAAGGGAGGAAACAAATTATTGCACACATTTTTCTAGCTGCCGAAAATCATACCTCAAAATACAAAATACCTTGTCCAAACCAGTTACGAGTGCTTATAAGACATTGAACTATCGCAAAATGTTGTCCGATTACATATAAATCATATATTTTTCCAGATTTTACGCATTTATGACAAAATTTGACATTTTCTATTCTCTGTGATACCAGCCTTCAAG